CTTGAACTCTCAGCAGTCTTCCCACCTCAGCCTCTTGAATGCTGGGATCAAAGGTGTGCTCTGCCACACGCTGCTGCCTGGTCTCTCTTTAAATTCTAGTGTCACTAATCTCACAATACTTCAGGTGATCTGCCCACCTCAGAACTTTAAATTCTTTCTCAAGATGCTGTTATTTCTAACATACTCAAGTTTAACTTCAAACAAGCAGAAAAATACTGAAAATAATATCCACAAGCCCCTTGATGTGTGTCTGAAATTAAGTACACATTAGCTTTTGTCATGTGTGTGTGTTAAGGAGTTAAATTTCGGTGTGCCAAGCCCTTCCCCTGGGCTCAAGCCCTCTGCAGCCCTGAGGGTCAGCGTGCACTGACAGCTGTAGCTATGGACTTGGACTTGGTGTCAGTCCAGCTCACTGCCCTTCCGTCCGGGTGCCTGCAGAAAGACTTTGGAAACCTGTTTAACTTTTAGCTTGAAGGTGTTGTAACAATAACTGGCTAGTGTTTGTCAAGCTCTTACTGTGTGCCCAGGGAGATTTCAAACACTTGATGTCTATTTAAACAGAGGAAGCCACTGCTTTCCTATTTTGTGGACAGGGAAACAGACTCAGGGCAGGTAGCTGATTGCTCAGGTGCAGTCCCTGTGAGGGGCTGACCTTTGACCCTTGCAGAGGTACGGGGAGCAGCAGGTTGGGATCCAGCTAGGAGGGAGCATACTGTGGGAGGGCGGCACGGTGGGAAGTGCCTGCCCCAAACAGCCACGCGGGGACTGATGGCATCCAGTTGTTGTGTGGAAGTGTTTTGGAGGGCAAGGGTTTTACAAATGAAGGGAAACGTGGGTTGTGGGGCATAGTTGGGTTTGGGTGATGCTCAGTGGGGAGAAGCTAAAAGCCACCCAGGTGGGACTGGTGCTTGGGGTGACGAGACTGCCAGCTTGGCAAGAAGCAGGATGGTCATTTAGAGAGGGGCTCAGCCGGGAGCTGGGCTGCAGTCAGGCCCAGAGGTTGTGCTTTGCACAGTGGCACACACTATAGTCCAGCTACTCAGGAGGCCGACACAGGAGAATCACCTGCCTCAGAATGAAAAGGACTGGGGTAGAGCATCCCTGGGTTCAGTCCTTGGTATCGCACATTTGCTTGTGCACACACATACACGTATACACACGTGTGCACAAGCAGTGGCTTTGGAACACTGTTTGCCAGCAGGCAAGTGGGAGGATTTTATCTGAGGAATTGGAGGGACCGGAATGTTATGATGGTGTCTGTATCATCTTATTATCTGCCAGGGACTGGCTGGGCTCCTTGGGTCTGTTATTTCAGGGTGCTGTTCTGTATTACCAAGGACCCCAGGACTTCATGACTTAATTCTAGAGTTTGCTTGTGCACCACGAGAATGCTAAACACTCCTGAACTGCTGAACGTGGGGAAGTGGTCATTTTCACGTGTATTCCACACCAGTTTTGAAAAACCAAACTTCATGACATAAAGTAATGGCTGTTGTAGTTCACAGTTCAGGTGAGCTGTGTGTGTGTTGGTCTGGGACCCTCCACACAGACACCAGAAGACAGCGGACCCTGTGCTCACATGCACCTCAGACCTCAGTCACATCTGCTGCTGTCCTGTGGTTGCCCAAAAGTCACGGGGGAGGGTCCAGACGCAGGGGAGCAGAAGGAGACTCCCTTCTGCTGGGAAGCGCCCCAAGGTGGGCCTTTTTTATGGCTTGGTGTACTTGCCAGTCCTGATAGCAGCCTGAAAGCCAGAGCACACATCACCGCCTGCACAGATTAGGAAAGTGTGGCCCAGGGTCAGGTGGTGGCTTTTCCAGGGCCCAGAGGCCCTCAGTGGGGGCTGCTGCTCAGCTGGAGGAGCTCAGGTGTGTCCAGGTCACATCCAAGCTGTGGATGCAACCCTCAGCCTAGAGTGCACTGCAACATTCGGGCTCTTCCTCTCCGCCTCCTCTCCCCTCCAGACTGCCTTTCCTGCCTGCCTGCCTGCCTGCCTGCCTGCCTTCACAAATATTTCATCACCAGTTGCACCAGACCTGGCTTTTGTGAAACTTACATTCTAGCTAATGACAGAAGCAAATTAAGCAAATACACAAATTTCATGTCAAAGACAAGTACTATAAAAAATAATGGCAGGAAAAAAAATAATAGGTGAGATTTGAATACCTGAGGTCAGTGGAGGATTACTTTTTAAGGCTGTGATTTAGGGCAAAAGATGCTCTGCCTTTTCCATCTATAAAATGAGGCTGTTGGAGGAAAAGGAAGCACTGGTTACCTGTGGGGAGGGAAAGTGGATGGGCATGGTACAGGGAGAGAAGAACTTCACAGCACACTCTGTTTTTGTAAAGGTGAGACTTGGGCTCTTTTTCCTAGCTCTTGGGTTTAATGATCAGTATGGTAAGATGGTTAGTTTTGTTAGTTGCAGTTTTTCTGAGTCCTGTGAGCCACTTTGAAACATAGTTGAGTGTACCACTATTTAGAGGAGATGAGTAAGAAAATTAATTGCCCTTCATGTAATACTTGCCTTAGTTTCTCTCTTAAGTAACAAAGCAGAGGGAAAAATGTATGCTTAGCAGATACTGAGAGCTGATTTTTTCTGTCACAGGAGAATTTGGCTGTAGAAATTCAGGGTTCAGTAAGTGTGACTTACACTGAGTTTTTGGAGCATTATCAGTAAATTAGGGACATTGTGCCACATGAAGTTAAGTGACAGCACTCAGAGGCCACGGAAGGGAATAGCAGCCTTTTATAATCAGGAAGATCGGTCTTTTATCAAGTCTAAACGTCGTTGTTGCGACTAATATATTTTAAGTCTCTGCTTAAGTCTAATGCCTGACCCAATATAGTACATCTCCCACATCTTCCTTCAGTATCTACCTCAACCAGTTTTCCAGCTTCAGTCTGGAAACCAGTAGGTTTTCTTTAAGAAAGACTTGAAGTCATTTGGCAGCAAACCCTGATTGTAATAGAAACTGAGACTTGCTTTATCCCACTTTATATAAATATGCACATACTTTGCTGAAATATAAATACAGTAACCAATTATGGATGCACTGCACAATAATGGGGCTCTAAATGCATTTTATCACCTGTTCTCTAAAACTGAAAATTCTGAATTTTGAGACATGTCTAGCCAAGAGGTCGCTGTAGATTGTGGCCTGTAATACCTTTACTAAGAATTACAGGTAATGCATGTATTATGCTTGGCCATTTATTGCAGTGCCTGGTTAGACTGGCTGTGGTGGGGAATGCTTGGAATCCTAGATACTTGAAGGCTGAGGCAGGAGGATGTAGCACAGTGCTCTCTGGGTTCAGTCCCTAGTGTGGCCAAAAACGAAAAACCCCACACTGTCGGAGCTGAGGGTGGAGGTGGAGACACTGGCACTCAAGTAGCAGCTGTTGCTGCTAACACTGTTTTGTTGAGAACTGGCCTGCAACTGCACAAAAGCTGCTTTTGTATTTCTTCTTTCCTGTGAAGTCTTCTTGCCTCTCCACATTTTCAGAGGGAAGGAGTTGAACTGTTTTAATATAGTCTATGAATCCATTCACTTATTCATCAAGCCTCTACTGGATACTTTTATGTGCCAGACCCTGTACTGAACATATGATGACAAGTAAATATTAGTTTTCACAAATAATTTTTATTATTGGAGATGGAAATAAAGTTAAATTCTTGGGATTATATGACTCAAAAAAAACTTTACCCTTTAGGCAAAATAATATGTATCCATGTTGGGAAATTTAGCAAATAAACCCAAGCAGAACAGAACACCTTTCACCCAGGACTCAGCAGGTCCGAGGTCCGCTGACTTTCTGGGATTTCCTACTAGTAGACTAGGCCATGCATCTTAAACCACTTCCTGTTAGATATTTCAGATGCTTCCCATTTCTGTTTAAAAGAATGGGGAGGCTTCATGTGCGGTGGGGAAGGTGATATGGGAACTCTGCTTTCTGCTGTTTCCCTGTGAACCTCAAACTGCTCAAAAAAGGGTTTATACAAAAGTGCACAGGCGCGAGGCGCCCTTTCTGATGTGCCTGCGCTGTGAACGACTCCTGCCAGCACTGCTGCCGATCCTGGCTGGTTTTCCTGGGGAAGGGTACGGGGAGCTCGCTTCCCCGAGGGTACTAGTGGCGAAACAGGTGTGAGACACCGCGGGCTGGGGAGCAGTTGCAGGTGGTAAACACAGGCCTTATTTATTTATTTAGTGAAACCGCTGCACAGGGAGGAGACCTCAGTGTAAGACTGGGGTCCCTTCCGGTGGCCCGCGGGGAAGAGTGGGGAGTTTTAGGGGTGCGCGTGGGTGAATGGAGAAAAAAGAACTCCGGCCAAACGGAATTCACTGGATTCTTGCTGAAGGCGGCCTGAGAACAAATGCTTAGAATGCAGGGTTCCGGCTAAAATCGGGCAGTGCAGGAAGACCTGTAAAAATCAGAGTCAGACCTACCTGGGAAGAGCAATCGTCTTGGGGAGACTCGTCACCGGGAGGAAGAGCAGGCTTCTCTGTAGTGGACTGGGACCCTTCCGCAGCCTGTGGCTTCAGGGGAGAAGGCCCTCCTGTCTGGGGGAGGGGGAGGGTTCCGAGCCCCGGCCCCGGG